TTCAGTTATTGTATTCTTTAGTTCTAACTGGTTGTTTTTTATGATTTCTGTATCCTTCTTTATGTCCTCCCTAAGTTCCTTAAACATTCTTATCATCAGTGTTCTAAACTCTGTCTCTGAAAGGTTGGATACCTCTGTTTCATTTAGTTCCATTTCTTGAGGTTTCTTCTGATCTTTTACTTGGGACATGTTTCTTTGTTTCTTCATTCTGGCTGTTGCTCTGTGATTGCTTCAATGTATTAGCTAGATCACCTAGAAAGAAAAGAAAAAAAAAGAAAGAAAGAGAAAAAGAGGGAAAAAAAGCAAAAAGAGAAAAAAAAGGGAGGGGCTCTCTGCCTGCTTTAATCTGCAGACCACTTGCTCAGCAATAGAGAGACTCTGGGCAACACAGCACCAGCTGTTGGGGGAAAGGGCTCAGATCGTCACATGCCGACCTCCCTCTAGACTTGATGTGAGCTTCCCACAATTAGTTACTGTGTGCTCTGGAACCGTGCTCACCACCAAAAATCCTCACAGGTTGTTGCGGGCTGTCTGCTGCTGCAAAAAACCCTCTGTGGCCTGCTGAGGTAGGGGCCAGGCACCAGGGGCTAAGGGTGCCCCTGGCAACACAACTTTAGGTGGGTGGGGCAGTCCCCCAAGGCACCACAGGATGTGGTCAGTGGCCCTCACCAAGTCAGAGCAGCATGCACTCCTGCATTGGCAGCCAGCCCACACAAACTTGCCAGGAAAGCCCTGGCCGAATCATGCAGGTGCACAGCTCATGGCCCTACACTCCCAGGAAAACTTTCAGTCTCAGCCTGTCCCAATCAGCCGCTTGCAGATCAGGCCGAAGCAGCCCGACAGCCAATCACTACCCAGGCAACTCTGCATGTGCAGTGCAGAAATTGGGGACCTAAGGCGAGTCGCGCACTCCCGGGTCTCAATAAGCAATCTGTTGGAGTCGATGTGCTCCTGCCAGGCGTTTCCTTGGCTACGCAGCACAAGCAGTGCAGAGGGTGGGGATCCAAGGCCGCATGCGCACACACACACACGCGCGCGCGCACACACACACATACACACACACACACACACACACACACACACGCGCGCGCACACACACACACTCCTATGCCAATTCCAGCAGACCAATGCGGTCCCAGACCTGAGCTTCTGTGGGAGGGCCCAGCCCTGAAAAATGGAGCCCTCCTGTGCACTACTCGTGTGCACGCTCCACACCAAGGGAACAATGGTCCCAAAACCTCCAGTTCCTGTGTCAACGGCACTCAGTTCAGTCCTTCCTGCAGGTTCCTGGGCCCCGCTCACACAGCTACTCCTTCCACCAGGAACTGGGTGAGTGCTCACCAGCGAGCGAGTCGGTTTGCTGGCTCTACTGGTTCTCCAGCTGTCCTCAGCCTCACCTAGTTGAGTAAAGAGAGTCCTCACTATTTTCTACTTCCAGCTATCGTAGAGCTCCTCTTCCCGGCAAAGTAACTCTGGGCTGGTGAGCATGGTGTGGGGCCAGAGGGTCTCTCCCCCAACCGGAGAAGCCTCTCCACTGCTGAGGTGTCCCTCACGGGGTTTGCCCTCGCTCATCTCTGCCCCTCCTACCAGACTCGACGTGGCCTCCTCTTTAAGTCCTTCATTTAGAAGTTCTCTTCATCTAGTGTTCAGAGAACTTCCGAGGTTGAATATCTTATAAATTATTTGTAATTTTGATGTGATCCTTGGAGGCAGTCGGCACAGCATGTCTATTCTGCCATCTTACCAGAAGTTCCAGGGGTGTTGTTCTTGAGGATGCATAATGGGGCCCTTCTAGGGTTTTAGAGGGTTTTTTTTTCCTTCTGTATCCCGATCTGGGAGATGGTTCATATTTACATGTGTAAATATTTATAAAGCTATATGTACCTTACTGTTTATAATTTTACCTCAATTAAAATGGAAACAAACAGAAATACAAATCAAAACCACATGAGATATCACCTCACACCAGTCAGGATGGCTATCATCAATAAATCAACAAGCAACAAGTGTTGGCGAGGTTGTGGAGAGAAGGGAACCTTCGTGCACTGCGGGGGGATGGTAAATTGGCGCAGCCACTATGGAAAAAAGTATGGAGGTTTCCCAAAAAAATAAAAATAGAACTACCTTATGGCTCAGCAATTTCATTCCTGGGTATTTATCCAAAGAAATCCAAAGCACTAATTAAAAAAGATATATGTGTACCTATGTTCATTGCAGCGTTATTTACAATAGCCAAGATATGAAAACAACTGAAATGCCCATCGATAGATGATTGGATAAAGAAGATGTGGTACATATATTCAATGGACTATTACTCTGTCATAAAAAGGATGCATTCTTACCATTTGCGACAACATGGATGGACCTAGAGGGTACTATACTAAGTGAGATAAGTCAGATACAGAAATACAAATTACATATGATCTCACTTGTATGTGGAATCTAAAGAACAAAATAAATGAACAAACAAAACAGACTCATAGATACACAGAACAAACTGATTATTACTAGATGATAATTACTAGATGATAATTACTAGGGGAGTTAGGAGTCTGAGTGAAAAAGGTGAAGGAATTAGGAAGTACAAACTGGTAGTTACAAAATACTCACAGGAATGTAAAGTGCAGTATTGTGAATATAGTCATTAATATTATAAAAACTATGCACAATGTCAGATGGGTACTAGACTTATTAAGGTTATCACTTTGTGAGGTATATAAATATATAAATGTCTAATCATTATGTTGTTTACTACACCTGAAACTATAAAAAATAAAAATTTTAAAATAAGGAAACAAGTGAAGAAACTTAAAACCAAAATCTGTACAATGATTGAAGTTCTCAGCCTCAGTTTTCAGTGCTGAGCCCGGTAGGGTGATGTGATACACAACACTCCTCACTGTACAGTGAGTTCTGTGTCAGTCTTTTCATAACCCTTAGACAATCTCTAAACACAGCAATTATCTTTATGGCTTTCTCATGTTCTATCTCTAAACCTGTCCCCACACATGTTATATCCTTTGATAAGAAATAGATTCATGTTTCCACTATTTTAACATCCCTCATGCATGGTATGAAACCTACCTCACAAGGGACAGGAGACAGATCATTTTACGCATGTTGGGGGTACGGAACAAGTCACACACAGGAGGTTTGATCTTTGCTGCCTCCAGCTCCTCCTGCATGGTGGACCTCAAAACCTTCAACAACAACAAAAATAACAAACTCTTGAGCTATCACAAAATAGTAGGTATTGTGAGCTCCCCCACCCCTAACAGAGGTCAAGGTAGACCACTTGCTGTTACAGTTAGTGGAAAATATAGACATTAAAGATGCATTGACAGGTGTAAAAGGGTGTGAAAGGTGAATGAGGGAGTTAAAGAAGACTCAGGAAAATTATGTAGTAACACAGATATATATATAATTTTTTTGTAGGCAAATAAAGGCTATTTTATTGAATGATCACTCTGTGTACTGAAGAATGGCTAGAAGGGCCGGCCGAGTGTCGCGATGGTTAAGAACTGGCTTGGGATGCCAGAGGGACCCGGTTCAGATCCCACATATGAGGGTCAGTGACACTGCCCTCTACAGCTAAGATGCTGAACAACAGCTCAACCTGGAACTGAGCTTCCATGAGTCGCCGGCGACGGCATGGGCTGCAGCCCCTGTGGCAGTGGGTTGTCATGGACTACCGTGTGTAGCCAGCAGCCAGCATGAGTGGCCAGCAGCCGCCGTGAGCGGCCATCCAGAAGCCGGCGACTGATCTGCCTCACCCTGGAAGAGCCCAATGATGGTGCCAACTTGGGCCAGTGAAGCAACATCCTCCACAACTAGACTGAAAAACAAAAGGACAGCAACTTGTCTGTTCCCCTTCCCCCAATTCCCCAGCGCTGTTCCCATCCCCCCAATTCCCCAATTAAAAACAAAAAAAGAATGGCTAGAAGAGCTGAGTTTCAGTTCAGGCCACGATGTACAGATAAGAGAGGTTCCTCAAAAAATTAAGAAGTATTATATGACCCAGCAATCCCTTTCCTGGGAATCTATCTGGAAAATTTGAAAACATTTATCCATAAGGATATATGTATCCCTCTGTTCATTGCAGCTTTATTCATGGTGGCCAAGACATAGAAGCAACTGAAGCATCCTTCAATGGGTGATTGGATAAAGATGTGGTACATATATACAAAGCAATACTACTCAGCCATAAGAAAAGGTGAAATACTGCCTTTTGCCACAACATAGATGAATCTTGAGAATAACCTCCTAAGTGAAATAAGTCAGGTGGAAAAAGTCAAGAACCATATGATTTCACTCACGTGGGATATAAAACAAAAAGCAGCAAATGAACAAACAAACAAAAACTCATAGACACAGACAACAGTATCGTGGTTACCAGAAGGAAAGGTGGGTGGGAGGAGATAAAAGAGGCTAAACGGCGTCTAATATATGGTGACAGGAGACTTGACTTTGGGTGGTGAACACACAATGCAATATACAGATGATATATTATGGAATTTTACACTTGAAACTTATATAATCTTATTAACCAATGTCACCCCAATAAATTTAATAAAATTTTTTTAAAAAAAGAATGTCCTTTCAGCTGCAGAACCACCCTGAGTAGCGAAATATTGGACTCGTGCTTTTGGAAGAGCAGAGTCATGATGGCATCCCCTTCCTGCATCTAACACCAGAAACCTATGACCACAGGCCATTGTCATGGGTGGTGTAAGAATGGGCTCCAAGAATATCTTCAATTTGGGCCAGAAGAGGGCTGCAATGCCTGCGAGACTGAATTTAAATTACTTGTGATATGAGAGTAAAAGTTCAGGATGTGCTGAGGTTATTTTATACTGGCCATTCATTTTTGGTGAGCAAGCAGAGATGTGAGTAGTGTGTCTAGAAGTATTTAGGGAGTCAATGCCCAATCACTCAAGGAGTTCCTCCTTCCTGGTAAAATCTTTATTCAAGGACAAAGAGGTCCATATTCAATTGGGAGCCTGCTGAATCTTCACTTTTTTAAATACATTTTTCTCTCTGATTTTCACTTCCCTTGTTAGTAAAAACAAACAAACAAACAAAAAACTATTTGTGCCAATCATAACACTATGAAGGGGTGAAAAGCATGACACAGGATCCTGTCTGTAGCCTTGCCCAGTGGTGACCTGGAATCAGTGCACACAAATTCACAAAAACCCTTTGTTAAATTTTTAGATAGTTTGTGAAGCAATTGCTGTCATCTTGTTAGCTTGAAACCGACTATGGTGATAGTACTCACTACAAAAATTCACAGTCACCACAAATCTGAAATGCATGGCTTTTTTTTTTCTCTTGTAATGTTAGGTGTTAAACATTTAATAGCACACCACTGGCTTGGCCCCTCTGCACTCATTCGGACTGCTCTCAACTGCAAATTTAATAATATTCTTGCTTGATTTAAACCTGGTTATTCTACCTTAACCTGTAAACCCATTTCAGATATAACTACCCATAAGGTGCATTCAATGCCTGAGTCCATGTTATGTATCCCTCCGTGGTATTCACATTCCCACTCTTGATTTACTTCAGAGAATTTCTCAAGTCCATTTACTTGATGAGTGTGATCTTTCTGAAGATAGAAGCTGCAGACCTTCTTTGCCCTGTCACAGGATCTGTCACTAAGTAGTCATAAAATGTATTTGGAAGGAAGAGAGGAAAACAAGTAAAGAGGAAAGGGTGAAAGGAGTTGACTAAGGATGATATGCATGTAAAAACTGAAAGATCTGAAATTCAAGAACCAATATAAGTATAAAACATCAATCTGAAGAGCTTTGGAAAGATGCTTGTGAATGAAATCAGACATAGAGGGGCTGACATATATTTCTTCAAAATTACAATTTATGGTGTACAGATAGAAAAATTTCTTAACGTAGTATAGTTGGGACAACTCTGGAGTTTTGTGGATGTAACAGAAACCTGCAGAGCAGTCAGTAGAGAAATTTCCATCAGTTGCTCATAGATACCATGTCCCTCACAATCACATAAGTGTGCCATCATTGACTTTATGAGGAACAAGTTTCAATTGAATACTTTTCTTTTGGTTTAACTGGGGAATATACTGTGGGATCCTTTAAGGTGTGTGGAGACTGTAATTCAGACTGGCCAGTATGGAGCATGAATTCTCGGGTTTCTACTGGGCCTGAAACACTTAGAACAATAGAAATGAAGATTGAAAAAGACTGGACAAGTCACACTGGAATGGGAGAAGGGAAATGAGAAAAGCAGACCAAGAAGAGAGTATCCAAGTTTGGAATGTACAGAGTTTAGAGCAGAGAGGAATGTAGATAAGACCATAATTGCGTAAAAAAGTCCAGAACCAATAAAATGTAATGAGCAGGAAAGGAGGAAAGTTTATTAGAAGATGAAAAGGGCACTGTTCTAAGGATGGAAGAAATGGACCTGACAAGGGCTGACTGGAACAACTTTGACCTAGAAAGTGCACCAAAATGAAGTTTCATGAGAAACACTGGTGGTTTGGGGTAGGGACACTTTTTTAATAATCTTCATGATTCCAAGAGGAAAGACTTCAAAAGATTAACACTCTAACCCCCTTTCTATACCCTCAGCTGCACATGGAAGACTGAGGTCTTTGACTGGTAAATGTGGGAGAATGCAATGGCCATGCTCCAGTGACTCAGAGTGTCTTTACAAAGATATTTCATTCAGATCTGCTGTCTGGGCCACACTATAAGCTCTGCACCTGTAGGAAAGCATGTCACTGGTGAGTAAGTTCAATTGCAAGTTGAAATGTTAGCAAATCCATTGTTGCTAGAGATTCATTCACTTCCTCTATTCTAGTTTTCACAGTAGTAAAAAATACAAAATTTTAAATCTCCATCTTTCTATGCATATTAACCATCCCTCAGTTGGGTGTGATTTAAGCAGAGGAGATGTTTATTATATACTGGACTCCCAGACACCCAAACCTGGAGTAATCAATGAATTGATATTAATATAAAGTAGAGCAGCTTTCAGCTAGGATTGTCTGGAGCAGGTGTATTTGGTAATCCATTAGATGGAGGTTAGAGATGACTGAGATCCTAAATTTCTGAATAATCTTTACAAAATTTAAAAAAAATGTAAATAAGGCAATATTGGGTATACATTCATGCATAGAACCCTATTCCTAAACCTAGTTTCACCTGCTCCTCTTATACAATGTTTCCTTTCTTCCTCCTGGCACTGAGGTGATTGCCAGTTGCCATTTACCTTGATAATACATTGTTCTTTTCTTGCTTCTAGCTTGCAACACTTAATTTTGTTATTTGGCTGGCCCCTGTAAGATTTAGGTTTTAATTTTTTGGATTGTGCCAACCTTGTCAATAAAGTGCTGGGCATGGGCTTGGAAATATAGTTCCAAGATATTAGTTGGCCCAAAATAACTTCCTATAAATCAGGTATATATTAACACAGTCTAGAAGTGCCATAAAGCTCCACTTAAATTTCAAAGTTTCTTTAAAAAAAAAAAAAAGCCTATGTCAATGATTCTTCTTCACATGAGGGCCTCTTGGTGCCATTATTTCTGTGTAATGACTTCTTTTCTGGAAAAACCTTTATTTCTTCTAGCAACCTTTAATGAATTCTAAACACCCAGGAGTATTTTCTTTTTTCTTATTTGAAATATTCTTCCAAAGAGGCTCCACTTTCTTCTGGGGCTATAAGAACTCCCATAACTAAGCTCACCGTGGCTCCCAGCAACAGGCTACCTGGCTCAGGACCCCAGAAACATGCTTGCCAGTGGACTCCATCACCAGCCCTACCCACAGCCCATGAACTCTGACAAAAGACACCCCCACCTCAGGGACCCTGGAATGAGGTCTACCTCCCAACATTAGCACCAGACCTGATGGTGGACCCTGTCATCTGGCCTGTTCACAGACAATGGCATCAGTCCTGCCTCTCTGTGGACCTTGACAGTAGACCTTCTCACCTGCAGTCCCTGGCAGAAGGTTCCCATCCATGGACCCAGGAAGCAAACCCACTGCTGAACCCCACTAACTGACCTACCTATAGTCCCTGCTAACTGGCCTTCCCAGAATCTACAGCCATGGTGACTGGCAAAGGGGTTTCCCACCAAAGCCAGACTGTAAAGACTGGAATAGGTGGCTGCTTCTTCAAATACACAAACACCAATACAATGCTATAAGGATCACAAAGAATCAAGGAAACATGGCACCACCATAAGAACAAAATAAGGCACTAGTAATCAGTTCTGAAAAATAAACACTGCCCACAAATATCCAAAATAATCTTTAAAAAGCTCAGTGAGGGGCCGGCC